TTTTTTTTTTTTAACCACCGGGTAAAAAATGTAGTTCAGGCTGGCCTTGAACTCACTGTTTAGCCCAGACTGGCCTCAAAGCCTCAGTGATCCTCCTGCATGAGCCTCTGAGTACCTGGCACATTTTCATGTCTTCCACACCAGTTTGACTCTCAATCTCCTGAGACTCTTTTTTTGCATGTGTAATTATGCAAAGTCTCCTGGTCCTCATCTATCACGGCTCACACATGGAGACTATTTACAAGGCCATGTTCTCATACCCCATCCCTAGTAAAGTGACTCCCTCAGTTTAATTAGCTCTGCTGAGCCCAAGCACCCTCTAATTAAACTTTTCTATCATATAAATTGCCAGAGTAACAGGCAGATGGTTGAGGGAAGTATGTTTCCACTTGAGGATCTGAGCTACTAAGAGAGAAGAGAATACTATACAGTATCAGAAATAACATCACCAAGAAGTAGAAGTGAAGCACTCATGATTACAGATGACCCAGCTCCATTCCTACGACTAGGTCGTTAAATGAGGAGTTGTATATAGTACAATATTCAGTAGTTACAATATTCAGAGCAAAGAAATGGCCAAAGGAAACTCCCAGTTGATGACTTCACTTTTATTTGCATAACTCTTACATGCAGTACTGTAATGTATAACAGAGCATAAAACTACAGTGCTATACAGAACGGTCAGCAAAAATTACAGTACTGTACTATAGAAAAAGAACCATAGGGCTTTACTGCCACCCACGTTCTTGCGTAATAAGAGCCAACATGGGTGGCAAATCTGAGCCGTGGTCCTAAGTCCAAATAGTGTTAAACATGTAAGTCAGAAAACTAGGAATGAGTGTACATGTTTATTCTCAAGGAAAAGATTGCTCTGTGATGATTTGTGTGTGTGTGTGTGTGTGTGTGTGTGTGTGGTGCTGAGAATTGAACCCAGGGCCTCACATGCACATACCACGCAAGCATTGTACCACTGAGGTATATCTCAGGCCTATTGATTTATTTATTTTCTTTTGAGAGAGGGTCTCACTGAGTTGCTCAGGATGGCCTTGAACTTGTGATCCTCCTGTATCAGTAGCTGGGATTACAGGTGTGTGCCACTACCTAGCACTGTGGTTCCCCTCTTCCTCCTCCTCTTTCTTGTTTTCCTGCTCCTTCTTTCTTCTTCATTTCTAAGATACTGCTAAGAGTGGCTTTGATAACTCATTCTCTAGCTTTATGCAGTGGGTGTCTTCCCTCTGATTTGGGTAGAATGCTATATATCTCCCAATCTTCTTGGCTGAGTTGTGTTACCATGGCACCTCCTCAGTGTTTGCTTTAAATCTGAATATTGGTATATTTAATCTACAAAATACATCAGTGATTAGGTACTATCTGGCTAAAATGACATGACCTTTTAATTGTGAAATAGTCTTCTTTGATTTCTTTAAACTGAATGCTCTTATCTTCTTCATGTACAAACTCTTTACTTGGTTCTGTTAGAGGAAGATAATCAATATTATCCTACCACCTTTTCAGATCTCTTGTGCACTTATGCTTAAATAATGCTCTGAATACAAAATACAATCATTGAGTGCACTAAATAATGAGAGTTTGGGAGCATTTCTGTTAGGAGCAAATCTCTCCAGGCTCAAATCATAGGACAGAATTTTTCTCTATTCAAATCTCATTTAGGCCAATCAGTAAATGAATCTAAATTTTAATGGGCTCATGTTGCTCTTAATTTAGAACATGATTAAATTAATTAGTTCTGATTTTAGCTATAAAGTCTTTAATACTGAATATAAAACAAGGATAGTTAAACTACATTAATTACTAAAAGTGCTTTATTTATTGTTAGATTTTATAATGTAAATTGTGGAAATAACCTTGTGCCAATTTGAAGCCTAGGGTCTGATTGATCATTCTTTAAATGTCTGACAATATAGCATGTGAATTTGTGAAGATAGTCAAGAAACTAACCTACTCCCTGTGTATGTGTGTGTGTGTGTCTACAATAATCCAATACCCTTTAGAAAGTCAAGTACTTTCATATTCATGCTCTATTTAGATTCTTTATTTTT